CATGGGGCCATGACTCTAGATCTGTGGACCACTCTTTGACCTGGCAGGGAGGCTTGTCATCCTGACTCCTTCCAGGAGTGTCAAGCTGATTACGAGCTCCAGATTCATTGGAAGGATTGAGGCGCCCGCAGCAGCGGTGGATTGGTGAGTGGACCGTCTGGCCCCATGGGGCTAAATCCTCGTTATTGCCACCTGTGCAGGGATATCTGTATATGAATAACCCCATCTCTAGTCACTATATGTCAGTTACAACTTGACAACACATAACAAGAATCCATAAAAGTTTGTTGCCAATATCTGTATTTCATAATCCATACCCAAATTCCTAGTGTTGATGTATTAAAATATAGAGTCATATTAGTCATAGTAACACCTAGAACCGCTGATGTTTTGTTTCACTAATAGGCTCCTCAGGATTTGGTATCCTGGGATGAATCCCATGGCCACAGATTGAGAGCCAAAGGTGTCAAGTTCAAGACCGACTCTCCTTGGCAACTGTGAATTATATGGTGGTCAGTTGGCTATTTTTGAAGAGTAAACCATGTTTTTTCCTATAGTTTATAGCTCTAAGCAAAGTGTAAATGGGAGGTAGGACAAATGCTTTACATGCAAGGGGTTTCATTGTTCAATCTGTGGCATTTTCAGTAAGGCTAGAAAACAATCCTGCCTGGATCTTTGGAGAGACTTGGCCAGACACTGCCAACAATATCAGGCTAAACAGACTCGTGATGGGATGCAATACAAGGCAACCTCCAATGTCCCTACATAATGAGAGAGATAAATATTAAAGAGTCTTCCAAATAAATGCTTTCTTTACTTTTCATTTGTGATCCCAAAACTAATATTTAACAGATGCACAATTTGGATTAAAAGGCATTCTCACACACATAAACCAGAAAGCCAGTCTTTCTCTTCAATATTTCTCTTCAATCTTTGAAGAAATATTTGAAATAAATTAACTTAAATCTTTGTTCCAAGGCAACAATGGTATTCGTTACTGCTGTAAGGTAAAGGTTCCCCTTGACATTTAGTCCAGCTGTGTCCGACTGTAGGGCACGGTGCTCATCCTTGTCTCCAAGCTGTAGAGTCAGTGTTTGTCCATAGACAGTTTCCGTGGTCACATGGCCAAAAAAAAACCCAGAAAGCCAGTCTTTCTCTTCAACTTTGAAGAAATATTTGAAATAAAATTAACTTAAATCTTTGTTCCAAGGCAACAATGGTATTCGTTACTGCTGTAAGGTAAAGGTTCCCCTTGACATTTAGTCCAGCTGTGTCCGACTGTAGGGCACGGTGCTCATCCTTGTCTCCAAGCTGTAGAGTCAGTGTTTGTCCATAGACAGTTTCCGTGGTCACATGGCCAATGACTAGACACGGAATTAGGCTGTTATACAATATCTATCGCTGCATGCTTGTGCAGAAATAACTGCATTAAAATCAATCTTTAGTATTATAATACTTTGATTTGATTACTGCTGTAAGGTAAAGGTTCCCCATTTAGTCCAGCTGTGTCCAACTGTAGGGCACGGTGCTCATCCTCGTCTCCAAGCCGTAGAGCCAGTGTTTGTCCATAGACAGTTTCCGTGGTCACGTGGCCAGTGACTAGACACGGAATTAGGCTGTCATACAATATCTATTGCTGCATGCTTGTGCAGAAATAACTACATTAATATCAATCTTTAGTATTAGCTATAAAATCTAGAAGTAATTATAATAACTTTAGACAGTTTCCCCAACAACTGATGTGATTTTTCAGATGTAAAATGATGGTTCTTTCTATATGAGCTTATTCCTTCAAGCAAGTTACCTTCTAAGGCTGCAGATCCGGAATTAGGCTGTCATACAATATCTATTGCTGCATGCTTGTGCAGAAATAACTACATTAATATCAATCTTTAGTATTATAATACTTTGATTTGTTCCTATAACAGTTTCCCCAACAACAGACATGATTTTTCAGATGTAAAATGATGGTTCTTTCTATATGAGCTTATTCCTTCAAGCAAGTTACCTTCTAAGGCTGCAGATCCGGGAAATGTGCCAGTGGAAACTAAACTCGGACTATCATTCAAAACCATGCCAGCAATTCATGCATTCCACCTAGACCATCCTAACATACTGTAGCTGGTCCTCTATTGACCTTTCTGTAAGTGGAAAGTCCTGCCAGGATCGTACCACTTACAATAGTGAGAGCATTGCACGAGTGGGGATCTCCATGAAGAAAACCCACTCTCCACCTGCACAGAGTAGCACAGGCTGTTGCTATGGTGCTGCCTGGACTCTACACTTAGCAGACACTCAGCCAGGCGGCTAGTCTGTGAACTGAGGAGAGCATGCAGCACAGACTTGAAAGGTTTTTCAGATTATTTCTAGAAACTAAGACAAGCACTGCTGTTAAGGGTGAAGAGAAAATCAGACACATGTCATCATCTCTTAATCAATAGTTATGTCTATACAAGCAGTTTGTGGAACATTTCTCACTTGCCTGTTGGTGTAGGGGGGAGGAGAGAGTTTTAAGTATAAACAAAAGAAATCAAGCCACAAACAAGGCACAAGGGCAGAACAGCTGACATCCAAGATGCCAACGAATACTTAACAAGCAAGTGTTGGCAGAGAAAAGAAATGTAAAGCCAGTGGACGGCAACCAGTTTCTCTTTACAGCCATCATCAAGACCTCAAAGAGACTTTGGTCAAAGGCTGCACATGGATCTTATAATGCCTACCACCTGGCTCTCATATTACTGTAAGTGCTTATGGAATAAACATGAGAACTTGAGCTGGGAGTAGGTAGAAGACAGGTTTCCACTGCATTAAAAAAGGAAAAAGAAAAAAAAAGCAGGCAGGTAGCACTCCTCAAAGAAATAATACCCTTTGAATGGTTTGCTGGAGACAGATTTCTCTCTCTCTCTCTTGCTCTCAGTATGCTTCTGCAGCAAAATGTCATTGACGCAAGTTGTATGGTTAGCCTTAAGTGAGCAACCTTCTTGAACTGCCCAGAAAATATTTCCAGCATTAAGTGGAAAATGATTTCATAAGTAGTTTATGTGTAATGGTCATTAATATATACAGGCTCATGCCTAGTCCTCTCAAGCATTTTAAAAACCCAAATTGTTATAAAGCTATTATACAGCCGGTGATTGCACCATAGAAATGTACAACTACATCAGAGTACATTCTCAGTATTTTCAAAGCTGCTTGCCTTCATATTCACCATATGTTTTCTCTATAAGTTGCCTCCAATTTAATACAAGTATTTTCACAATTACATGGTTGTTTGCTGATATGGAAGTGCTCCAGGGTCAAAGCTTCAAGTAATAAGAAGGCAATCAAAGGTGTTATTATGTTTTTATTTTCTCCCCTCAAATACAATAATTATTTCTGAGGCAATGATTTGAATGTTTGCTATATCAGGGGTCTGAAGTCTTCAGGTCAGTTGAGGTGATTAAGTAACTTGTGAGTAACTTGTCTGCCAGATTAATAATGGAAATTATGCCTCTCTTCTGATATTAGACTGGGGAACATGTAAGACCTTGTAGCTTGGCTGCTTTTAGTGTAACACAGCATCTAAATCACAGGAAATCTGAAACTATGTAGAGAAGTTTTTGGTGCAATACAGCCCCTTCAAATGGCAGGAAGTCTGAAATTAGGTGTTGAAATTCACAGAAAACCGCCCATTCCCAACCTAGAAACAGAAGATGACTTCTGTGCTACCTAGGAGACATGCAAATTGAGCAATGGGACCTCTGATTCATCTCTACTCTTTCCTGGACTTTCAGTGTCTTCTTCCTTGGATGGACAGTCTTATGAAGATGAACAATCAAAATGGAAGATTTGGAATGCTACAAAGATCACTCTTTCTTAACCAGCTTCTCTGGCAGACAGGCAACTATCTGTAAACTTTGCCACTCGGAAATGAGTTGAAGTAGGGATGTCAAGGGATGTAGTGGCACTGCAGGTTAAACCGCAGAAGCCTCTGTGGTGCAAGGTCAGAAGACCTGCAGTCGTAAGATCAAATCCACGCATTGGAGTGAGCCCCCGTCGCTTGTCCCTGCTCCTGCCAACCTAGCAAAATGCGAGCAGATAAATAGTACCACCTCAGTGGGAAGGTAACGGCGTTCCGTGCCTAGACGCGCTGGCCATGTGACCACGGAAGATTGTCTTCGGACAAACGCTGGCTCTATGGGTTGGAAACGGAGATGAGCACCGCCCCCTAGAGTCGGATACGACTGGACAAATTGTCAAGGGGAAACTTTACCTTTACCTTAGGGGCTCATTCAGAACAGGTGATCCCACAAATGGGCATCAGTTATTACCTGGGTAATCTACCATGGTGGTACTTCGAGATGAGGTTAACAGTTAAAACCTTAAATTAGGCACAACTAAATTGTATACCTCTGAGTGCATATAGTATAATTGCTGCACATGCTTGGAAGAATGTAAACTTATCACTAAGATCCTCCAAATTCACCAAGAATTTTCCCAGGCAGAATTCTGGGAGATACAGCCAAAAACTAGCAGTTTGCAGAGCCAGTTTCATGACTTGCACATAGGCCCCCATCACAATTATTCACTCTTCATGAAAAAGGAAACTGGCCTGGTTCTGCCTGAGAGTGGCAAAGCTTCATGGGAGTTGCAGTGCATTAGGGGATGGATAGTCTCACTACCCATTAGGCTCTGTAGAGGATTCCCTCAAGGAACTACCAGTCCAATGAAGTCTTGTGACTCCCCTGAAGACTTGCGACTCTCAGGCAGCATCAGGGCAGTTTCCTTCTTGATAATGACAATGGCAGCTCACGTTTAAATAATGAAAGCTACTCTACAAGTTGACTGTTTCTCCCAGTTTTCTGTGTAGGGGAATTCTTGGCAAATTCTGAGAGCTGCAGTCCAAAGAAATCAGAAAGTCCCATCCTGCATGTTGTTTCATACTATTAAAATAAAAGACATATACAGCTTTTTAATAAAGTATTTTATTAATAATAATAAAGATACAAAAATACCAACTATAATGGCTAATGTTGACGCCTTTACTTATAGAAATTACTGTAAAGTCAGAACCATAGTGTGAATAGGTTTCCAAGTGACAGCATCAACAGGCAGCATCTACTAGAAAGTACTGAAGAAAAACTGAAAGTTGTTCCATTTACAGCACTGTAAAACTGGACGGACACTGTCAATAATGAGTTTAAAGACATAACATTGTTCCTTTCACTAGCAGGCCAATACTCATGAGTCAAGAATGTACCAGCAAACATGAAAAAGCTCAGCCCCCAACTAAATATCACAAACTGTGTGGATGAAACAGAGTTGCCAGAAATGTCCTAGAGAAGAGAGGAAGAATGTGTGGTGTTGTTGGACCACGACCCCAGTGATCTCTTACAATCGCCTAGGGAGCTGGGAGCTGCTGCCTGACAATGTCTGAAGGGCCACACATTCCCTGTACTTGGTCTAGTGTGGTTTCCAATGGGACCTGGTGGAACATTGTTCCTTTGTGGATTGTCTTTTATGTTTTAGAAAAGACCATGGAGTCCTGCTCAGAGCATTTCTCCTTCTCGCTCTCTCTGCTATTCGGGCATAAGCCGAATACAGGATAAACTATGAAAACACAGCAATAAGTTAAAACATTTCAAAAACTAAAAGAAAAAAACTTCTCACATTAAACTACCTTCTGCCTATTTCAAGCCAAAATCCACACACAAAACAAATACATGAACATTACATTGTGGTTTTGACTTAAAACAAGTACTTATGTGCAATTAACAAAAATATAGGCACATGCAAGGGAGCCAAGTACAGGATGTATCCTGTTTTGTAGTTTCTACTTCCAGGGCTGATGAGGCCAATTATTCTTATTCAGTCAGAAATCATTCTGCCTATGATCCAAGTACAGCAGAAAAGAGAGGTGACCAAAGCAATAGCTCCTTGACAGTGCCCTTCTCAGCACAAGTGCTGTAATTGTAACACTTGCATGGTAAAGTACCATGGGTACCAACAAGAAATATTCACAGGAATAAATGAAGCACACATTCTTTGCCCAGTATCATTCAATTTCCCTTCCTTTTTTTTCCAGAACCCATCACTACCAAAAAGAGAAGGCCAAAGGCCAATCGACACAGAGATTTTAATTCCTGATGCTGCATCATCAAACATCACCAGGTACTTTCTCATTCACATGGAAAGACAAAGGGCCAAGCTAGAAAAGCCCCATGCTTAGGATTCCCTGCCGGTCCCATTTCACTAATGAGCAAGGAGCTGCTTTGAGAACTGAGTAAGTGATATTCTGGGAGAGGGGGTTTAAATCTTTCCTCCCAAGCCTTTACCCAAATGGTTCCCAATCTTAGGTCCCCAGATGTTCCCGGACGACAACTCTCAGAAATCCTGGCCAGTACAGCTAGTGGTGAAGGCTTGTAAGAGTTTTCATCCTAGAACATCTGGGGACTCAAGGTTGAACCACAGATGCCACCACCCCTGGAGATGTCATATCACTGACTTTCTCCCACCAAGTTGTCTCTCCTGATAGCAGGAGAGACAACCACAGTGACGTGATTCTAAGAGTTAAATAAGCTTTCAGATGAAAGCTTCCAGAATCTCTTAAGAGTCCATGGTGGCTGGGAGATTCTAAGGATTACCCAAGGGAATGGCAACATTTCCAAGTTCTGAATTTATTGCCCAGAAAGGGTTAACCTCAGATCACCCATTCAACACAACCCTGTGAAAGGGTCCTGATTTATAAACTGTAGGGATCCTAATCATGTCTTGTACGGGGTGGAACTACCTCTGTGAACACAGAAGGGCTTTCAACTGGCTTTCCTTAACAGCTGCCTGTAGTGCTTCAAGGCCAACCAGTTTTGAAACTAAGTTTGATTTCAAAAGAACTGTGTTGTAAACGCATGGGGATGTGGGGAGAATCAACTGTTCAAAGAATAGTCTAGAATTCAGCAGGTCTGCACCCATGTTTGAGGAGCTTGTTGAATCCCAGCCTGTAGTTTGCAGAAATGAGGTGTGATCCACACGCCTGTTCTGCAGGGCTTCCCTTTTAAACTCCCTCAAACTAACAGCACACCTGATAGCCAGAGGCTGCACTGGGATGAAAAGTCTGCGAAGGGCAGAAATGCATGACATACAGAAACTGGGAGCTCCTTCATTTGCCGTTCACTTACACCTGTAAGTTAGTGCAACGTATACAATTTGTGGACCCAGCCAACTCCAGACCAGATACAGCGTGCACTTGTCACACCAATGGGTGCAATAGGGTCATGCCCTTAATGCACTATTTACGGCAGAGCTTAGAAAACTTACCCTTTTTGATTATAAATACTAGAATCACCTAGCCAGCATATCTACTGACTGTAAACATACCCCCACTATTCCACTTTAACATTTCTCTTGCAGTCTCAGGAGTTGCTCTTTTAACTGTGGTTGCCTGTTGTTATTATGATGTCTCTCCATGTGAATGTGTACCACAAGATGATCAGGACAGGAAAAAAAAAACACTGGCCAAAATCCCACTGGTATTTGTTTATGATCTGCTCACTGACAAGGTGCCAGAGCATCTGTTGGTCAGACGCTGGGTCAGGTGCTCAACTGCACAATCCAGAGGCATCCCAGGACCATAGCAACTAGCTGCGACATGTAACACACCAACAGGATTCTGGCCACTGTGTAAATTAGCCACAAAAAAGGCCTGATAGACAAGCATTTGTTAATTTCTAAATTATAATCTCTGTACAATGCATTCTACCGAGACTCGGCTCAGAACAAATACTTTTTAAAGCCTTACATGTAGTTTTAACACCTGACCCTATATATATTTATTTTTATATATATTTATATATAAACTCATATTGTCTTCTGCACAGCAGAAGTATATAATATTTTAGAATCATTTTTATTACACCAAACAAAATGCCTGCATACATAATACAAAAGGCTTGCACATATAATACAGAGGATACATAAATCTTGAGAAAAATGCAAAATGAATTACATTTTTGCTATAGCCTCATAAACATCACATTATGTAACTGGTACAAACAGAGAGTGGGGTAAAGAGGAAAAAAGATAGTTTTTTTAAAGAGGAAAAGGCTAACTGCCAAAATGCCTTAACATGAGCCATAACTCTATTAAACTAAAGGAATGAAATTAAGCTTGGTTTAATTGGCTTAAATCCAAGAACTTTTAGTTGTTATTATGGGTTGGAGCTGGATATATTCCAGTCTAGGAACACATGCTTTAAGAATGTGTGTTATCACTAATGTGGGCCAGAACTAAAAATTCTAATTTCATATTCATACCACATTTTTGCCTTGAATATGCATGCTCTTAAAAAAAAGCTTATTCCTGTCAGAAACTCTGAAAATGGCATGTAAATGACAAGTCCTGAACATATACACACAAACACATATAAATCATTATTCCTTGTAAAAGTTTTGCTATTGGCTTATAAAAAGTCATTCAAATCCTTTTAACAAAAGTACAACATAAGTATACAAAAGCCTTATATGTTTCAGGGTATTACAATTTGTCTGTTTGGTCCTATAACAAGGGAGCTAGTTTGTTGACTAGTAAGGCCTAGCTGAAACATATTTTTCAGATATACATTTAAGAATTTATTTAAAGTGTAAATGCAACCAGTGAGTGTTTTTGAAATACATTTGACAAAACAACCAGTGTTAAGGGTGCCTCTCTTTCAGTAAATACTCAGTGGCACCCTAGTTTTCTTACTATGTAAAATGGGAAGCAGTCCTCTGCTGATAGTTAACCTGATAGATCTCTCCATGATTTGAAATAGATCAGTAAGCATTTCTGATCTCCGTTTAACAATAGCAGCAACAAGAGAATACCCTACCCACCCTGAGCTTACAACTGTTTGTATGAAAAAAGGTTTGGATAATCAAGGTTGCAGGGAATCTGATCTGAGTTTTGCTCTAGTACTCAAAGTCCTGGCATCAGAATTCTTTAATTTTTTGGTTGTCAACGTTGTGTTCCCAGATGTTCATGGACTAGAACTCCTAGAAATACTGGCCAGCACAACTGGTGGTAGAGGCTTCCAGGAATTTCAGTCCAAGAACATCTAAGGATCCAAGGTTCTGAATCACTGCTCTGATTTCAAAGGTATATGTCTTCTGTACCGAAGGTTGGCTAATCTCAGAGTCCAATTCAAAAACGTATATCTTACTAGCTTGATATCTGCCTCCCCTTGCTGTAATTAAATTATCTTTCTACCCCTGAAAGAAAAAAAAACCAAACCTACACAGGACCCATTCAACAATAATGAGAAGAAGCATTCAGAGGGAAGTTATGGCTGTAATATAGGCTCATGTGAAAAGGGCCCACTTATTAACAAGAATTTTTAGAGATCACCTGGTGAATAGGCTCATATGAAAAGGGCCCAGGTATATTAACCCACTTTTTAACAAGAATTTTTAGAGATCACCTGGTGCCTTGTGGCTTTAAACAACTAGAAAACATTGTTTGAGACTGCACAATGGTAAGAGAAAGGACTTGATCTGATATTCTTACAATCCAGTAATACACAGTTTGCTTGAATGTTGCAGGTATGTTAACTAAAGCCTTTTAATAATAATAATTACATGCAGTCAAGTCAATTCTGATATGGTATCCTTTCTAGCATTTTCTAAGTAAAGAATACCGAGAACTGGTTTACCATTCCCTTCTTCTGGGGTATTTTGGGATTACAAAGCTGGCCCAAGACTACACAGGTTGGTCCTTCTCCTTCAAGGCACAGCAGGGAATTGAAATCCCAACCAATACCTGATTCACTGAGCTATCCAGCCATCAATGCAATTCCTAATATATGGCTGAGGTTTACATATTTGTTACCATGTAAAAAAGTGTAGATCTGTTTACCAAACTGCCTACTACCATCTGTTTTTGCTTACCCTGGGTTCTAGGCTTGTATTCTAACACAAAAACAGACCTGGAGCATTGGCTAGAAATTGGGAGCAAAGCAGCTAGTGTACTGTACAAACAGTGTGTTGTGTGGGAAAGTCATCAGAGTGAATTTTTGAGGGAACACATCTTCAGAGCAATTCTACTGTAAGCTGTGGAGCGGCCTGTTTTTTAGAGGAGACACAGTGGCTGAACCTTTAAAAAATCATAGGTGAAGAGAAGGTGAAATACATTGCTCCTCTCTACCAAGCCATGAAGATAGTTGCTCCCAAACAGAAGTCAACAGATGTTGGTGGACTACAATTCCTAGAAGTCAACATAGCCAACACTTGAGGTTTCTGGAGAAACCATCTGGAGACTACATCTGGAGACTTCAATTTGGGAACAAAAGAGATGGAAAGCAGGACAGCAAAGCACAAAAGGTGCCTCAATCAAATACTATGATTGATATACCAAAAGCAACGTCCAGCATTCCCAGTAGAATTTCTATACTTTGTTGTTGTTTCAAAGGAAGCCCTTCACCATTGCATGCCATAGTACAAACTAGAGTTTGGAAATGTATTTTTTTCTTCTCCTCTTCCTCCTCCTCCTCTCCCTTTCTTTCTCTTTTTCACTATGACTCTCAAAGTCATTGGTCATTCTCGCTGTAGTATTCTGAGAGGAGAAGTACATCAAAGTTTAAACCCACTCTCAAGTTCTGGCACAAACTGTACTTGAAACAACTCCTCAGTTTCAACGTTATCTGCACGGCTGGCCACATGTAAAAGCTTGGACATACAATTCATTGGACACATTTTTAGGTCCAAATCCATATACTGCTTGGTTTGTTTTGTTTGTTTTTTTAGGTCTGCTATATGTACAATGAAATCAACTGCATGGAATCCTTTAACATACCTTCTTATTGTAAATACACATAGGAAAATAAAGTTCAAAAATTTCAAAAATATAATTGCAATAATGGCTTATCAATGGGTCATCTTCCAAAGCATATCAATTAATTTAAGAAGTTGTTGTCATGGATCATAACAACTGCAAACACACCAACAAATCCCACAAACATTTTACACAAGGGCCTTTCCCTACCATTAGGGTGTGCTTGTGGCAACTTTGTTGAACTGGGATGTAAATCCAAGTAATCACTTGTAAAGAAGTGAAAATATAATTTAAACCTTGCTTTTGCTAGGAGAACAGCATCATTTCTGGCTGATGCACATATTTATCATTGCTGTAAAGAAGAATAAAGAGACTTATGTAGGTAAGGAAAAATACTATAAATTTCAAATTGTGTTTGCATCTCCCCAACAAGCTGACAATAAGCAGCAGCAGACAAGAAATTGGGCATTCTAATTCCACAGAACATATCCGCATCCAGCAATCACGCTTTGCAGTTTTGCTTTTCATTCAAGTATCTTCAGGAAATAGGTCACCATTCTTGCTTATACCACAGTTCATGTCATATAGCGCAATATGAGGCAGAACATGACAGAAAGATCCATAAATATCTGCAAAATTTGACGATCAAGTAGTACTTGATCAATGTTGTTTGTTTGTTTGTAACCAACAAGGCTTTTTCTATTACAATTTGACTTCATACTTTCCAAAATGTTCTCGTAACTGGAATTTCCTTTCTTGGCTGGAAGCTACGATCTGTATGTCATTAAGATTTTATGTATCCATTTGGAGTAGAAGGCCACCCTGACAAAAACCCCAGGTCGTCCAGGGATTGCACATCCACGCCCAGGAATAATTACTCCCACTACTATTTTAATTCTGTTTTGTTCACAGACCAATGGACCGCCATAATCCCTCTAGAAGAGAAAAATGAAACATAAACAAAATAAGCAGATGGATACATATATATTTCTTTATGGAGAAAAAAAAAACATCCCAAATTATCCCACACACACCCTGTGACATCATGATATGTACGGTCAGGCAAGGGACCACTAGACCAACAACCCAGAACAAATGCAATAGGGGTCCTCCCATCCACTAGGACTCAAGAGTTTGGCTTGGGAACAAGTAGATTATCTTTCAACCATTACAGAAAGAGCCTAGTTAGCAGTACTCAGTTCTCAATCACATCGAGGAATGTTCTTCCATCAGATTATGGACAGTCTAGAGATTTTGGTTAGATACCCAGTATTGAACCCTGATGGACACATACCAGAAACACAATATTTCATCCTTTTATTGTGGAGTAGACATGGGCACAAACCACAGTTTGGCAGTTCAGTCCAGATTGGTGCAGCTCCTGCACAGGTGTTCGCTTATCTCCCCCACCTCCTCTACACAACTGCGCACTCACTGGCTGCAATGCGCTTCCCTTCCCCACCCCTCTGTGTGACTGCCCACTCACCTGCAGCAGCACATGCTTTCCTCTTAGCAGTCACCCATTCAGATGAGGAAATGGGGCAGGGAAGCCTGCAGTGGGTGCTGCCGGTGAGTGGGCGATTGTGTGGAGGAGATGGAGGAGAAAAGCATGTGGTGCCTGTGGGACACCTGTGTGGGCACCGTGCCAAACTGGACTGAACCACCAGTTCATACCCATCACTCCTCTGGTGCAAAATGTCATCCACATTGCCTTTACTTAAGGGATGGGTGCAAAGCATTAATGATGCCTCTGCAACACAGAGGCATACCTCTTTGCTGTCAGTGGCTGCAATACAGCCTATTAAATGTTTGAGCATAATTATTCTCTATTTTGAGACACCATGTAGAAGCCTGACCTGCAACCATCCGTCAGGCTAGATCTCGTGTGCAACCGAGAGCAGGTGGAGGGAGTCAGATAATCATTTTTTTTTTCCAAATCAGTGTTTGGAAAACTGATCCTAAAACTCATGTCCCTTTTCATTAGGTGTAAGAAATTAACTGCTCTGATTTCTAACATCTGTCTTTAGGCAGGGATTCAGCAGCTGGGCTTGGACTGGGAAGATCCTGATCAAAATGACCCTCTCCAGAAAAACAACAGCCTGAATCTGCAGTGGCTCCTGTTATAACATACAATGCTGTACACCTTGTACGTTGATTCAAAATGGTGCTCAATCTAGTTCTTTTCTGCTCTGGGTTTTACAGATACACCACAGTTTCAGGTAGTGCAGGACCACCTCACCAGCTGACTGCCCACCTCTTTCCCACTCCTTCAATTTGCCACCCCTCCTCTGCTCTTCCCATGACCATTGTTGTGTCTTCCTTTTTTCCCCTCTTTCTGCCTACATGTGCACATGCAAAGGTCCAATTCCTTTTTTTAACCTGTTCCCATCATGTGACATCATGCCTAGCCCCTGATGTATCCACAGTGACAACGTACACACCCATGCTGCAGTATACCAGATTAAATCATGAAAAACGCACTGTAACTTGGGCTAGCATTATAAGTGAAGTTATGCCTGTCTGCAGCAAATATACTTTCCCCAGTTCATTGCAATGGGTTTGTTGCAGCCCTTGTTTCATATCCCCACTCAACTCTGGAGATGGCTAGATGACCTTGGAATAGCCACTCTTGAGCCACCTGGCTGAACTCACAGTCTCGTTTTGAGAATAACATATTCTGAACTCCTTGGAGGAAGAGCAGGATACAAATTAATTAATTAAATAAACAGAATAAAGTACCTCACAGGTCCCGCTGCCAATTCTCTCAGCCATGGCACACATTTCTGACTCTTTCACAACTACGTTGCCACCAAAATCCCGATTGCAGTGCTCATTTCTCATAACAACCATGTTGACTTCTTGAAGTTGCCCATCGAAGTCGGCTCCTAAAATGAAGGTAAAAAAAACAAACAGAAAAGGAACAAATGCAGATCTTTTTACTCAGTAGCATTGTGTTCTAAAACAAACCAACAAAAATTGGCCAAACATGGTGTGGCGTTCACCCTTATTATGTTAAATAAGTCATGCATTATTCATGTTTTATGCTGATGTGGCTGAGAGGTGGGGCCACTAGAGATGTCAAAAGGCGGAGCCAGAGAGGAGGAGTTTAGTTTTACAGTCTGGATCTGAGTTTGGAGGGAGAGAGAGAGAGATAGTTTGGGAATCGGAGGAGTGATTAGTCTGAGGAGTGAATAGTAACCTGTAAGATAATACAGAAGATTGTTATTGATGCTTGTTGAACCTGAAGATACTTATGAATTATTATAGAAACACTGTAATCAATAAACTTGCTTTATTCAAAAGACAGTGATGAATGGACGTTCATCTTTCTTAAGTAAAGTACATTGATTTAGTGATCAACTGGTGGCAGCGTGGGAAAAGGTGTTTGGTTTGCTTTCGTGTGCTCTGTGTTTGGAAGTCAAACGGGGCCACTAGGGGCAAATGTCACACATGGATTTTCGCATTTCTGTTGGTTTATATGAAGAAACACAAAACAAAATCTGTCTTGGCTCAACAAAATGATAAAGTTCTCTGCATGCTCTCAGAGACACAGAAAGATTATTCAGATTTACATCTTAATTCTTCTACCTGAAGCAGCAGTTCTGAATGGTAATTTGACTAAACTAGAATGCACTGGCCAAGTTAAAAGGGAAACAAAAAACAACTGTCCCTATTGAATATAGCTATTGGAAATGTGGGATGGATTTCACTTATGCTTGCTTGCTTTTAATCCAGCCTTCTCAAATTTCTTTCCATTCAGGATAGAAAGGAGTTTTATGCGTTCAAAATTAAAATGCAGACGAAACTGGAACAGACAGATTGACACATCCCTATTTATTCATCCAAAAAAAATCATTTTCTTATCCTGTAGATTACCTTTAGATAAATACTAGGTTTTGAGACCAATCCAAGTTCAATTTTAATGATTTTAACTTGGCATGCCCATGAACTGATAGGTGGCCCCCACAAAAACACTTTTTCCCTCACTGTGTTTTGCATAGTTTAATTTACCAATAGCATTATACAGCAGTGGCAATTTTCCTTAACTAAAGATTTCCTCCTTCCATCTCGCAGATCCCATGTCTCCCATGTGATGAAACAGGTTACTCAAGAGTTAGGTAAGCCATGGGAGAGAAAGAAGTCATCTTTAATTACAAAAATGCTCTCCTTGCCGAAAACATTATCATCCTTCTGCAGATTCTGGCCAAAGGCTATTAGAGATTAGGGATAAGTGGATCCATCGAGCACAGTCCAGTTGTGGATTTTTGTCTGTCCCTGATATAAAGCCCTTTATGATACAACAAGGTTGTATCTGGGGTTCCTTCTTCAGTTTTAGGTATCTGGGGACATCTGCATAAACTGTTTCTGAAGTGTTTCATGTACTATATATTGATTTTAATTTACAAAGTTAAGGATGTGTGGT